TATTATATGCTATTCAGGGGTAAGTAAAAATGGGGTTTTAAATTTAGGTTACACAAGATCACGTGACCTTTAGGTTGGATTTTGAAGCTTTATATTAGGGGATTGCTACCGACACCGCAACACGTGATTTATCTCCCTTATCGACACCACGATGATCGACATGAGCACCCCAAATTTTGACCAATTAAATTTTAGAAGATATTCAGAGAATACATTATGTATATGTTATGTATTCAGATATTTAGGATATTAAATAAATATCCGATTTTCCATTTTTGACGAAATCGTAACTTTATCGTACAAGTTCTAAAGTTAACGTACATAAAAGGCAAAAACTTCACTTCTGAATACTGGAATACATAAACAGGAAATGAACAGTTTTGTGGATCAAGATAGCCATAATTTTGAGAAAATAAAAGTCAAATTTGAGGATAATAAATTTTATAGTGAAGATGAGGACAAATTTAATGATGAAAGCGACAATGAATTTGGTAGTAAAAATGAAAGCGAGATCGAGGAAGACAATAAAACTAGATTTAATAAAGGAGAGACTGTAGATATTCGTATGTCAATGGATTAAAATAAATCAAAATGACGCGTCATTTTTTTTTTCTTTTTTAATATTCTATATAATTATAAATTGGGATTATACTGATAATTTTTATTTCTTTTAATAGCTAATGAAATTAATGAAATGCTCGGACAAGATTATATTACAGCAAAAGACATTCTCAATACTGCACAGGAAATTGCTAAGTGTCTTGGATTTGCAGTAACAATCAAAAACAGTAGTTGTCGCCATTTACATCTTCAATGCAAACGTGGTGGTCAACCCCGTAATACCTCAAATTTGACAGTAGACACGCGCAAAAGAAAGAGAATGAGTAAACGTTGTGGATGCCAATTTCTTTTAAAGGCAGTACTACAAAATTCTAAATGGCATGTTACTGAAATAATAAATAAGCACAATCATCCTATGACCAAGGACGAAAGAATTTTCCATGAACATCGTCAGTTAACACGGGAAACAAGAAGTGCAGCTGTGCGAATGTTGAAAGCAGGAGCAAGACCGAGTATGATCTATGAAGCTATTAGGGACGAGGATGGAAACCCAACCGCAACTAGAAAGGACATATCTAATTTAGGCTTACAAATCAACTCTCTAGAGGAGACTGCTTCAATGGAGGCACTGATAATTGGCATGGAGAAAAGAGGATATATAGTGCGCCGTGAAAATTATAAAGGAAAGTATTTTTATTAGTTTATATTGTTACTATAAATATCTCTATATATTAATAATATGGTCTATTGATTTAAATAGATAGTCGTCTAAAGCATTTATTTTTCTGCTATTCTAATTCGGTAACAAGTGCCAGACGCTTTCCAGAAGTGGTTTTAATCGATGCCACTTATAAAACAAATGTTTACAAATTACCATTTGTAAATTTTGTTGGCATTGGTAATCTTGGTGTAAATAAATTGCAAACATTTGGTATTGCTGGCGCCTGGATCTCTGATGAATCAGAGAATTCGTATATTTGGGTTATTCAACAGCTCATTTCTCTTGTATTTTTTGAACTTTCTCCTTTGGTGTTTGTTACAGATAATGATGCCGCACTTACTAGTGCTGTTAGAAAAATTTTTCCAAAAGCTGATTGCCTTTTATATACTTGGCACATTTTAAATAATTTTAAAAAAATTTAAGAAAACATTTTGATGATGATTCGTTCGATAAAATTATTAAAACTGTGGATCGTCTTATTAATGTAAGGGACTATGATGCATTCAATTCAACAATTACCGACTATAAAAAACTGGCCTCATTGAGCTTGAACGAAGATGATGTAATAAAATATCTTGAGAGGTAAATAATTATTTAAAAAGGAAATTCTATTTTTACCTGGGTTAAAGTAACCTGATATATAATTTTTATTATACTATATAACATTATTAAAATTCGTCTACTCTAACTAATATAATGGAAATTATATGTCGAGTGACTTTAATCTGGGTGAAAATAGAATTTCTCTATTTATAATATTTAATTTTTTAATTTTATTAAAAGTAATAATTTAATTTCATATAACGTATTACATTTTTAAAATAACTTTCTGAAGAATGATGAAAGTTAGAGAGAAATGGGTCGGTGTCTACACAAGCAAGATTATGCACTTTGGTGCAACAACAACGCAATGAGTTGAAGGCGTACATTCAGCTATGAAGCATGCAATCGAGAGTTCAGGAAGTTTAACAAAGGCTTTTAATTCTTTAGACAGGTGGTTGCGTTTGCATCATGAAGAGAGCTCATTGCAATATGAAAGTGAAAGTATAAATATTGACCCATTGTTAGCACAAGATGATAAATATCGATTAGGACCACTTTTGGGAAAAGTATCTCAGTTTGCACTAAATAGTATAAAGAATGAACTTCTCAGCACCACTACATATGAAGCTTGCTTGTGCGAACCATGTGTTAATTACAGTATACCTTGTCGTCATATGCTTCCAGCAAAAGGTTCTATTTCATTATCAAGTATTTCAAAAAGATGGCTGTTATTTCCCGATCAAGATCAATTAGATTCTCAACATGTAGTTCAAAATACAGCTTCAATTAACCTTGACAATTTTATTTCACTTAAGTCTAAGCTTTATATGGTTGAAACACGATATATGGGCTTTTTAGATGAACAGCAAAAGTCAATCCTTCTAAACCAACTTGATGATATTTTGACAGTTCCAGAAGTTAAGCTTTCTGATATAAAAGTACCAGAAAGAATTATAGGAAAAGGCCGTCCTTCTGGAACCAAACGATTACCAATTGCATTGGAACGTATGGAACAGGAGGAAAAAAAAAGAAAGAAAATCGATAATAAAAATAAAAAAAATTCCAAGAATGTCAAGAAAGAACTAACCAAGAGTACCAGCTTTTCGCAATGTATTTCAGAACTTCATATCGAAGGTAATATTAAAAAAAATTTTTTTTAACCAAGAAAAAAAAATTTAAATTATTTATATTTATATTTATATAGATCAAGCCTCGAAGATTTTGTTAAATTATTGCATTCCTGCTGATGATATAGACCAAGTATATAATCCACTAAGCGATGGTAATTGTGGATTTCGTGCACTTGCATTTGCTATTAGAGGGAATGAAGAAAATTGGGATCTCATCAAATTAGCAATGAATAATCAATTAAATAAGCGAATGGAGATTTACAAAGATTGGTTGGGCTATAATGTTGAATTGCTTAAACGGATATTGGAGTCTCGAGCATCACCTTGTGAACCTTTGCTTTGGTTTCTGTCACCTAATTGCGCTCAATTAGCTGCCAACACTTTTTCTGTTCCTATCGCTATTTTTGATGAGAGAAATGAACAGAGTATGATGTTCTTTCCGCTAGAGACACCACCAGTGCATCGAAGAAACCCAATTATTTTACATTTTATAAATGGAAATCATATTATATATGTAGGTATGAAAAGTTACGTGAAGGTTAATTGGCCAGTGGTTAACGTTCAGCATACACCAATATGTCGCAAATATGGTCTTGAAGATCACTGGTCAAACCTTTTTATATAAACTTTCTTTGAGCTTGAATTTTTGTATATACAATGTATATCTTATATAGCAGGCATGTATACCATCTAATCTGAATGTAATATGCATTTAGTGAATTAATTACTAAGATTGAGATGCTAAGTGCATTTATAAAGAGTATATATATGTGGTGCATGTAAGTTTGGCTATATAAAAATATAATATTGGTACAGTATAAGGTAGATATGATATGAGTATTATGGTGGTTATCGTTATCGTTATAGGCACTATGTTGAATTAAATGATATTTATATCATTTAATCCACCACAATACCATATCCACCATATCATATCTATAATACCTTATACGTCACATTTTGCAATATTGCAGTTTGATTTTTATAGGTTTGTGCTTTGCTTTTGCTTTATCTCTTAGAAACTAAAACGTATTAAAATAAATTATTGCCGCGATAATAAATAAAGTTTTCATTATTTATGCAATAGGCATAACGATATATTTAATTTTAAATTTATCTCTTTCGAATTATCTTGTAATTTGATTGGTCAAAATTTGGGGTGCTCATGTCGATCATCGTGGTGTCGATAAGGGAGATAAATCACGTGTTGCGGTGTCAGTAGCAATCCCCATAAAATTAGAATCATCCAGGGCGACCATAAAAAGTGCAGTAACGTGATCATAACATTTGCCCTGCATTGATCTAATTTAGGCCGATGATCTTCAAAATTCCAATTTTGCCGGAAATTAAGTTTTAAATTTTGAACCGAAAAAAAAAGAAATTAGTGGTAAAGTTGGATCGCAAATATTTTTTCTTGTGAATATCTGTGGTTTTATTAGCATTAGTATATAAAGTTGTGTGTAGTTTGGTTTGGCTGCACCACAAGTCACGTTACTGCACTTTTGATAGTCGCTTTGGATAATACATAAAATTACAGTACTAATCTAACTTCTAGCAAAGGTTTCTCAACAGCCTCCTAATTAAATTCGATGAATTTTTTTTATTTTATTCTATAGTCTTGTAGATTCAGAATAAAAAAAAAATTCATTAAATTTACTTTGGTAGTTATCAAGAAATTTTCACTTGAAGTTTTAAAAAATTGGAATATTTTAAGAAAAAATAGAAAAAATCAGAAAAATTTTCTTTTTTCAAATTTATCTTAAAGATTTCTTAACAACTATCTAATTAAATTAAATAAGATTTTTTTTTATTTTAGTTCTGCAAATATATAAAATTAAAATAAAAAAAAATTATTCAATTTGATTAGGTAATCTACAAATATTAAATAATATTAATAAAGAGAGTATTGTAGTATTTAAAATATCAAAAGTTCCAAGTAAATTATTAATTTTATTAGAAATATAGTTTTCTATTTGCAGGTTAATATTAATACACTGGTCAGGTTGGTCATTATCCTATAAAAATATATTAAAATTTAAAATTTCTAATATATAATAAGATGTAGAATTCTGTTTCCAAATAGTATAGTTAAAAATCCATTAATTGGTTGATTAAATCATGATGTGTATGTGATATTTGCATGATATAAGCTAATATTTTATTACAATAAATCTTTGATTCTATATAAGAGAACTCTTTCCGGTTCACTCCTAAAAATCATTAACAATAGTAAAAAGTAAACAAAATCTTTGAAAGTTTTTAGTATTATAGTAATTCCTCTTAGGCAAACAAGTTACTCTGGTACACAATAAGTAATTACAATCGGCAAGATAGAGAGAATCTGCAGCACTCAAGAAACACAAGTTCCTCAAGTCTTAGCTCCTTTGGAGCTTCCTAACAACATGTCACAACAAAAAACATACCTTTAATCATTCTCAGAAAAGTTGTTTGGTGCAGCATTAACAAACGAAACTGATACAGACCCAGAAGCACCTTCTGAATTATTCTCTCAACCCACACCACAGATTACTTCTATTACATCTAGCAAAAACTCCACTAACCCCAAAGATCGCTAACACTATCACCGACATGCCCTATACAATAAACCAAAAAGTGGGCAATCCAGCTCACCCCTGTCTGTAGATCACATGGAGGCACATAACACCAATATAACATCATTAATTCACACTAACAATACAACAAACCCAGATTGGTCAGGTCCTGACACCAACGCCCCAGATAAAATGGAAATATTCCCACACCCAGAACAAAACAAACAAATCCAACCAGACCCAACTCACTCTAAGACCTCTGGACCCCAAGCAATGGATACAGACCCCAACCCACAACCTCCACCGATCTGGATACCCGAGGGTTACTGACTCAAACAACTGGACTACCCCAGAAAGCCCCTATCTTATAGCCAAGCCACTCGCAGACCTGCTGCACTTAAACCTGATCTACAATTAGCAACCTCAGCTCTTTGGAGCCAGAATATAGTCAACACACTCGCCCAAAGGAAAAAACCATTTGATATCCAACAGTGAAGCAATGATAGAATTCTCGATACATTTAAAGATAAAACAAATATGACAGATTTCTTAAGACATAAGGCTAGTTCACTACTTACCTGCCACAACCTACCTATGGCAATCAATTCCAAATTTAACTACTATGATACTGCCTTTTTTAAATCATTCACTCGTGTTAAAGAGTCCATACTACAACATCAACGAGAGTTTGAAGCATTATACAATATGGCTCTTGAAAAATACAAAGGGATCCATGAAACTAGACTTATTAACAAAAACAACAGGAACCAGATCATAGAAAAACTTAAAGAAAAAATTGCAATTGATTACATTACCAACATTGACTTTCTAAAAACCAACCCACATGACATCACTTGTAAAATCTTTTACTGTACTCACTTTGCCTGTATCGAATTACCAACCAGTTTTGAAGATACAAGAAGAATCATCAGAAGGGTATTAGCAGACCGACTTCAACCACTCCCTACATTAGTCAAAGAAATACAAAATGAAATACTAGAAATACTTCCTTTTAAATTACTTATCCAAAATCGAAATCACACTAAAGCGATCGTGGCGGCACTCTGAAAAATTTACGAATTTGAACTCCTCCCTGACGAATACTTCGAACAGCAGCGCATTAAGCTACCAAATGATTCTGCAGAACTTGACCCATCAGTCAAAGACCTATTCCCTATTACTGACCGTTCATCACTACCACTTCTCTCGGAATATCGAAAAAAACTCGCAAATCTTTATGAATTGGAAAAACAATTACCACCAAAATTTTTTGACTTGCTGGCACCTAAACCAGCACTCCCTCTAATACCCCAACAGCTACTTCATAACCTCAGACAGCATTTCTCATGTAACCCAAAAGATGCTGATGAGCTAAAGAAGTTTATCGAACTTCTCTGACCCCATTACGGTTTCAAGCGACTATCCAGTGATTACCTTATCCAGAAACTACGACTACCACTAGACCCAACATCTATCAAAACTCAACACCCATATACTTTCCCAATACAGGATAAGGCTTTTGCCAAAAAATTTCTAGCTGAAATTGAACATCGATACAAATTCACATTACCTCTCCTATTTTCTTACATGTCAGTAAATCCTACTGATAAACCAAACCTTCCCGAGAACTATACTCAAGTCTAACATTTAAACCTAACTATACCAATCACCTCTCCCAAACTGCTTGTTGAAATCTCTAGAGACCTTAGAAAGCACTACTTCTTCCACAACATCCTTGCCGTTGGATTAACATACAATGCACCACAAAACATACTGATAAACCTCTAATTCCTCAAAGCCTTGACGAGTTTAAGCTACAGTTACAACACATTAACCCCGACTTGATCAAAGTAATACCTATTTATGATAGAACAATTGCTACAGAAACAATTGATAAAATCAAATCACACTTCACCATTTATATAATTCCTAAATACTTGCTTAATTTTCCTGACTTACCTGATCCTGAATGGTCAATCTTTGATAACTATGAACTAACTAATTCTCACTATCAACCTACAAACCCTTATCCCAAACTCGACAAACCACAAAAAAACCTAAATCAAACAACAGCGCAACTACGATCAGCTGCTATAACCAATCCCAAAAAACCCACGAGTAATTCAAATGCTATACCCAATGGTCAACAACTATCTAATCACTCCACCCACCAAACACTCACTCCTCCTTATTAACATCAACCCTTCACATCTTAAATTATAATATACAAGGAATTAATCAACCTCTTAAACTTCAGCTGCTATTAGAACATTGCACCTCCGAGAATATTGATATTGCATTCCTCACAGAAACAAAACTTGCAGCAACAACTAATATGCCAACAGCACTTACCAATCCACTCTACAAGATATATATATCTAATTGTGATCAAACAAATACTAATATACGTGAATCATGTAAAGGCACTATTATAGCTCTCAAACCTACCCTTCAACCCTATATCCACAACATCTGCACTATCCCCAGAATCGCTATATTAGTCGACCTGTTTCTTCCAGCCAACAAAACACGCCTTATCTCAGTTTACCTACCATTACCATCTACCCTCATACTCTTAACCTATCAATACCAAATTATTTCTTAGATTAATGATGGTTGCTCCCATAATATGAACCTAATCATTGCTAGCGACTTCAATAGTAATACAAACTGAGCCAATTACTATATCCATAACCCACTCCTGCAACACCTAGCCACCTCGGGTTTTATAAGCTTACTCTAACTATACCACATAACTCAACCTACATGGACCAAAAAGCAAACATCAAGTCAAATAGATGATATATGGATAAACCCTGAAATCGCACTCTCGTTTACAATCCCTTGTCTTCAAGATCCCTGTAACATTACAGACAGTGATCACCAAATAATCAGCACAGAATGGCAGACACTCTCTTTACAAAAACAACTACGTAGTAAGAAACGATATCATAAAATATATAACTATGACAGAATAACCAAAGTAGATTGTGACGACTTCGCAAACTTTATCTCTACCCATCTACAAGCAACAACGCATTATACGATACAAATCACAAACGAAGACCAGCTA